CCCTCGGACGGGAGCGCCGCCGCGCTTCCCAAGCGGCGCACTATCCAGTGCGCCACCGGGCCGGCCCATTGAATTGTTTTTATAAAATTTCAAAACCAAAAAACTTTCCATCATTGTTTGATTTGGACACTAATAATACAAACATTATGCCAGGTGATAATGTAAGTCCTTTTACATTAGATTTATATTTGCTCTGTATCTTGTTTCTATAAAATTCTGTCCTGGGAGTTTTCTTTGTAAAATATCTATTGAGACATCTTCACTCTAAAAGTTTAAATTTTTTTTCTTAACTATAATCCTTAATCTTTGGGCTATACTTACTTATTAAGTGATGTTAGAGGTGATTATATTTGTTGGAATATATTTTTTGTAGGAATTTAAGTATACGCATTTGTAATAGTACATGAGGAACTACCAGAACTGATCATTCCTTCACTTTGATTCTGCCCTCACTATGTCATAATTGGCTTCAATCCACTGATTAGCTAGTTAAAAGTTTCAGATCTGTGTTCTGCCTTTTTCTCCTCAGACAAAAAAAAAAAAATAATGAATCCTGTTACTCTAGAATTTCTAAAGAGAAGAGAAGTTTTTCTCTGTCTCAATTTATTCAAATTTTATATTTCTCAGTAAATGATTATAATTTTCTATGTTTAGGTCCAAATTTCTTATTAAATCTATTCCTTGACAATTTATAACTTTTTGCCAATGTAAAGAGAGTCAAATTTTTATAATGTTCTCTAATTAGTTACTGCTGGTTTATAAAAACACTATTTTGTTAAAAATCGATTTATCTCATGACAGTCTATGAAAGAATCTTGCTGGCTTAGTTTATTAATTCTGTTGGGTTTTTGTATAATATAAAATGTTGCAAATAATGTAACCATTTTCTATTTTAAAATATGTATAAACTTCTTCTTTTCCCCCTTATTGCAAAAGCTAGAGCATCCAGAACTATTTTAAATCATGGATGTGAGGATACGCACCATTGTCTTATTCCTAAATGTAATGGAAATACATAGTATAAGGGTGATAACTAGATATTATCTCACGTGCCAACTCCAAATCACTTGTAGGGCTATCTGAAGAGCTGGGTTGAATGTGATTCTAAGTCTGTGTCAGCAAACAGTGTTATGGCAGATTGTCAACATCTGCCATAATCTGTGAGGAGGCAATTGTAGTAAATGAATTAATAATATTGGTAAATTTTTTAATATTTAGCCTTACTTGCTCTGTAACTTCTATTCTGACTTCCTTTTTGATCTAAGATTTACCAAGAAAAGAAAATTTTAATTTATAGGCAGTTAGAATGATTATTTTTAACCCCCTTTTGTAGTTAGTATTTAATTGAATCATAGTTAAACAATGTTTAGAATTTTATTGAAGTGTTCTTCTATTCTAGTTAATTTCTGTAAGTGGGCTACAGGTGTATGTAAAGGATGTGTATTCTGTTTTGGGAGGAAAAACTTTTTATGTATCTTGTAAACCAAGCATGTAAGTTGTTACTTAAATCTTTTTATAGTCATAATTATTTTTTGTCCAATTGATTATGAAATTCTCTGGGAAAGACATACTGTGATTATGGTTTTGTCAAATTCTTCTTTCTTTTATCAGCACCGCACTCTCCCGAGTAAATTCTTCTTTCTTTTATAATAGTATTTACTTTATGTATTTTGGTACATTGTTTTCTGTTGTAAAGATTTCATATCTTTTATCTCTTTTGATAGATTATTTTAATAAAAATATTCTTTCTAGATAAGTTGAATTTTTTTTTTACTAACTTTTGCCTGGTGTGTATTTTCCCATATTTTTATTTTGAAATTTTCTATGTCATTAACTTTAGGCATAGATCCATCACTTACAGATATAAAAGATGAGGTACAGAATTGAGAAGATGAGACTTATATGATTGACGTCATCACCAAAAACAGTTGACATCCACAATTGGATCAGCTTTGAACTTAGAATTCCAAACAAGAAACTTGCTATAAAATATGACCAAATACCATGCATAACACCACGAGCTATAAGAAAGGAGTAAATAGAAAATAGTTAATAAAACTTACTTGTCCTTAATTTTAAGGGATACTCTGGGTCAACTGTTTTTTGCTGATATCTTTAAAATTAGCTTATTGCTGTAATGAGCATGGGAGTGCAGATATCCCTTTGACATTGATTTCAATTCATTTGGCTTAATACCCAGTAGTGGGACTACTGTATGATATGGTAGTTCTATTTTTAATTTTTTGAAGAACCTCCATGCCGTTTTCCATAATGGCTGCACCAATTTACATTCTCATCAGTGTACAAGAGTTCCCTCTTCTCTGTATCCCCCTAACACTTGTTAACTTTCATCTTTTTGATAAAAACCATTCTAACAGGTGTGAAGTGATATCTCATTGTGGTTTTAATTTTTATTTCTTTAATCATTTGTGATGCTGAGCATTTTTTCATGTACCTGTTGGCCATTTGTATGTCTTGAGAAATGTCTCTTCAGGTCCTTTGCTCATTTTTGATTGGGTTGTTTCTAAGATATAGAATCAACCTAAGTGTCCACCAATGGACAAATGGATAAAGAAACTGTGGCATGTACAAGGGACCTTCAAAAAGTTCATGAAAAGATTTGTATATCTTTTAATACAATTTTTCCATGAACTTTTTGAAGAACCCTCATATACACAATGGAATACTATTCAGCTTTAAAAAAAGAAGGAAATCCTGCCATTTGTGACAACACGGATGAACCTAGGGGACATTACGCTAAGTGAAATGGGCCAGGCACAGGAAGAACAACACTGCGTGATTTCACGTATATGTGGAATCTAAAAAAGTTGAATTCATAGAAGTAAAGGATAGAATGATGATTACCAGAGGCTGGGGGTGGAGAGGAAGGGAATGGGGAATTGTTGATCAACGGGTACAAAGTTTCAGACAGACAGGAGGAATAAGTTTTTTTTTTTTTTTTTTTTTTTTTGTGAGATGGTCAGATTTATATATGAGGCATAAGTTTTGAAATATACTGCACAGCAGGGTGACTATAGTCAATAACAATGTATTATATATTTCAAAGCAACTCAGAGAATAAAATTTCAAATGTCTCACCATAAAAAAATACAGGTAAGTGAAGTTATGTTTGTGTTAATTAGCTTGTTTTAATCATTCTACATTATATACAGATATCAAAACATCACATTGTACCCCATAAATGTATATAATTATAATTTGTTAACTAAAAATAATATTAATTAAAGATAGCTCATTGTCTTTGGGGGAGATGTACAGTATTTTTTAATTTCTAAGTTGAAAGAGTTTTCAAATACTGAAAGCTACACTTAAGTTTGTAAAATTTGGTCAGTTTAGTTTAGGAGCTTCTTTTAGTCTACATTAAGGAATATATATTTAATCAGTGCTTACTGTGTGTCAAACAGTGTAACAAGTTTTGGCAATACAGGAATGAGAAAGAAGTAGGAAGTCCCTAAACTCATAGAACTTATACTCCAGATCTAATGTTATACACACAAGAAACCCAGAAAAAGGAATGCCTCTGGGTCCCAGCTGAATGTCCTGCACTGTGTTGGCCTGTCAAATTGACTGATCACTTCCTTACTACTGGACATTTCATTGGTTTTATCTTCCCCTCCAATAAATATTGCTGCACTGTATATTTCTGTACATACATTTTTTGTGCTTCTCTGATTACTTCCTTAGGTCCCACAAATGGAATTATTGCCCCAAGAGATAGTTGCTCCTTTGTTGTTGCTATTTTTATTTTTTGTCTAATTGCTTTTCACAAAACAATGTTAATGATTCCCTTCCCAGGAAAACAGGGAGCTTGAGCCCAAGATAGTCTCAGTTGCTGGAATGAGGCATGCCAGTGGGCAAGGAAGTCCTCCCCACTTATGTGGGGGGAACAGAGTAGCAGAATTTGAATCACAGATGAGGGTGGGTCCTGATGTCAGAAAAGTCTAAAGGGCCAACTCCAGCAGAACAGGTGGAAAGCAGGAACTGAACCAAAACAAAGAACGGCCAAATGAAAAACAGAAACACCACCCACCACAAAAAACAAGGCTAAGTTTGGGAAGTAAATCCTAAAATGGTGACCTGAGGCAGTAGAACGAAGGGTAAAGGATTTTTTTTTTTTTTTTTTTTAATATTTGTTGAATCAAAATTGATCACACATATTTTGGGGGTTCAACATTGAGATATGTTGACCAAATCAATATTACTAGCATACATATTGTTATAAATTGTAATTATTCTTTATGCCCCTTGTCCAATCTCTCCCCTTTCTCCATTTCCTCCCCCTCCCGCCTCTAAATACCCTAGATTTCTTCTCTCCTTCTGGAAGAATAATGGTTACTCTGTTAACTTGTTGCCTAGATGATCTGTCCAATGATGAGAGGTGTGTTCGGGTCCCCCAATATTATCATAGAGCAGATGCTGCTTCTGTCACTCTGAAATGGGCTTTGTGGAAAGAGACATCCTCTTCTTTTCTTTATCTCTGCTGGTGACTATCCTTGTGTCAATGCACTCCAGTGGCTGGTGGGCCATCTGAGTGGTGGTTGTGGTGTCTAGCTGCTTTTGTAGCAACCTTGGTTATGGTGGTGGCTGTGGTGGGCCAACCACAGGGGGTGATGTTTTTGGCATGCTCCTTGGTGCTGGCAGTGTGTCTGGTTCTGGAAAGTATCTGGTCCCCAGATCCATGCCTTGGGTCCCTGGGTGGGCCCCAAGGTGCTCGCACAGTGTGCCTGAATTTGGGAGGGGGTTCCAGTCCCTGTATCCATACCTCAGGACCTTGGGTGGGCCCTGAGGTGCTGGCACACTGTGCCTGGTGTGGGAGGGGGGTCCATTCCCCTTCTCCATGCCCTGGGTCCCTGGGCAGGCCCCAAGGCACTGGCGCAGTGTGCCTGGTTCTGGGAGGAGGGTCTGTTCCGCTTCTCCATACCTTGGGTCCCCTGTTAGGCCCCAAGGTGCTGGCATGGTGTGCCTGGTTGTGGGTGGGGGGTCTGTTCCCCTTCTCCATACTTTGGGTCCCCAGGCAGGCCCCAAGGCACTGATGCAGTGTGCCTGCTTGTGGGAGGGGTGTCTGGTCCCCTTCTGTATGCCTCAGGTCCCCAGGTGGGCCCCGAGGCTCTGGTGCAGTGTGCCTGGTTGTGGGAGGGGGATAAAGGATTGTTTTTTATGAATCCTTATCCATAAATGTCCATTGGGAATAAGGGCACTATCAGGAGTGCTGAGGTGATTTAGATCCCTTCCACCTGGACTCATTTCACAGCTGACAGAGAATCATGTTTTCTAGATTTTCCAAGTAGGAAGATTAGTGTCTCTAGAGATAGTCTGAACATGAGAGGAGAGTTCCATGAATGGTCTCTAGGCCATATGATCTAGGCAAGGAGCTGGTCGTGACAATAATTTTAGGAGTTCAGCATCTCCTGTCACTGAAACATAAGATAGAGGCAGACTCTGGTTTCAGAAGCATGCAGGAATCTGGAGTTAGAAGACCCCAGTGTAAAAGTTGCCTTTAACTATAAGAAAGGAAAACAGCTTTTAATTATTAGCATGTTTGCTAACTAGATTTGTTAAACCAGGAAAAGTCTTAAAGAAAAGACTTTTTAAATAATTTTTTAAAAATCATTGTTACTTACACTGTTCTTAAACTCCACTCAGGTTGGAAAGTGTAAGAACTCTGAGTGCAGTAACTTTTCTTAATTTTTCCCTATTGTGAAATATGTGCTGATTTCAAAGATTAGTAACACTGTTTAGGTAATTACATAAGTTATAATAACAACGGTTACTCTGAAAATTATTGATTCACAATTGTGTCAGTTGATATAAATGAAATAGTAGTAAAGCTTATCAAGCATTTTAAAATTTCTTATTTCTTAAGGAAAAGTTTTCCTTCAAAGCTATTAAAAGTTCACAAAAAGGCCTAATGGCTAAGAAAATAAGTTCACTATTCTCTCTCTCTCCTACAGCAGAGTTTTTATTATTGAAGTCATTCCTATTACTATTTTTTATTTTATTTTGTCAATATACAATGTGGTTGATTATTATTGTGGCCCATTACCAAAACCTCCCTCCCTCCTCCTTCTCCCCCCTCTCTCCCAACAATGTCCTTTCTATTCACTTGCCATATCAACTTCAAAGAATTGTAATTGTTGTGTCTTCTTCCCTCCCCCCCCATTTATTTGTGTATTTATTTATTTATTTTTACCTCCCACAAATAAGTGAGAACATGTGATATTTCTCTTTCTGTGCCTGACTCGTTTCACTTAATATAATTCTCTCTAGGTCCATCCATGTCATTGCAAATGGCAGTATCCCATTCTTTCTTATAGCAGAGTAGTATTCCATTGTGTAGATATACCACATTTTCTATATCCACTCATCTGATGGTGGACATATGGGCTGGTTCCAACTCTTAGCTATTGTAAAGAGTGTTGCAGTGAACATTGGGGAACAGGTATATATATCTTCAACTTGATGATTTCCATTCCTCTGGGTACATTCCCAGCAGTGGGATAGCTGGGTCATATGGTAGATCTATCTGCAATTGTTTGAGGAACCTACATACCACTTCCATAGAGGCTGCACCATTTTGCAGTCCCACCAACAGTGTATGAGAGTTCCTTTTTCTCTGCAACCTCACCAGCATTTATCATTCGCAGTCTTTTGGATATTAGCCATCCTAACTGGAGTGAGATGGTATCTCAGTGTGGTTTTGATTTGCATTTCCCGAATGCTGAGTGATGTTGAGCATTTTTTCATTTGTCTGCTGGCTATTTGTATATCTTCCTTTGAGAAACGCCTATTCAGCTCTTTTGCCCATTTTTTAATTGGGTTACTTGTTTTTTTTTCTTGTAAAGTTGTTTCAGTTCCTTGTAGATTCTGGATATTAATCCTTTGTCAGATGTATATTTTGCAAATATTTTCTCCTACTCTGTTGGTAGTCTTTTAACTCTGTTAATTGTTTCTTTTGCTGTGCAGAAGCTCTTTAGTTTGATATAGTCCCATTTGTTTATTTTTCCTTTGGTTGCCCGTGCTTTTGAGGTTGTATTCATGAAGTCTGTGCCCAGTCCTACTTCCTGAAGTGTTTCTCCTATGTTTTCTTTAAGAAGTTTTATTGTTTCAGGGTGTATATTTAATTCTTTAATCCATTTTGAGTTGATTTTAGTATATGGTGAGAGGTATGGGTCTAGTTTCATTCTCCTGCATATGGATATCCAGTTATCCCAGCACCATTTGCTGAAAAGGCAGTCTCTTCCCCAGTGTATAGTCTTGGTGCCTTTGTCAAAGATCAGATGGCTATAGGTGTGTGGGTTGATTTCTGGATTCTCTAATCTATTCCATTGATCAATGTGTCTGTTTTTATACCAGTACCATGCTGTTTTGGTTATTATAGCTTTGTAGTATAGTTTAAAGTCAGGTAGTGTTATGCCTCCAGCTTTATTTTTTTTGCTCAGCATTGCACCGGCTTTATTTTTTTTGCTCAGAATTGCTTTGGCTATGCATGGTCTTTTGTTATTCCATAAAATGTCATTACTTACAGGTTTTTTTCCCCCTATAAAACCTAAAAAGACCCACAAAACTCTGTTCCATTGATTATTATCCAAACTACAAGGCAAGGTCTGTGAAAGTGTGGGGACTTCATCTATTGTGCTCATAGCTGAATCCTCAGTTTCCAGAATAGTAAGTATCACATAAGCACATATCAATAAATAATTTTGAATCAATGAATGTACTTCCACATTAGTACATCTTTCCCCCTTTTCTTTTTTTCCCCCTCTCAGAGTGAACATCAAGAAAGTCCTCTTGATTAAACTGTAGGTGTCATTTTTGATATAACTTTTCCTGAAATTCTGTGGTCAATATATAATATATTAATTAGGGCTTGCACCAGGTTTAGTAGCTGGACATGGATATTTCCCACTGGCATATATGATTGCACTTCTTTGTACTTTTCAGTTCCCCCAGTGGTGGCCTTTGAGATTTTCAGATACTTCTGAATATAGAAGATTCTTTGTTGCATACCATAGTCATCTTCAGGAAGGTAATATCTTCAGGAAGTTTTATGGTAAAAGCTTTCTGAGTCCCATATTGGGTCACCTCCCTTTGTACTCTGTATTTTGGGAGAGGGTGTGTGTGTGGTTGTTTGGCTGTCTTACATATCACAGATGGCAGTTTTGGAGTATTTAAAAATGATGTTGCTTTCTGTGCTAAATTGTGGTTGTAGTTTCACTATAGATGTTCCAAGCTGCCATTGCCTGGGTATACTAACACTGGATACAGAGCTCCATCCATTTGTTGTTTACAAGTCTCAAAGGCAGAAGACAAGTGTTTCTTATGCTCAAGTAGGGTAAATGTCCACCATCTGCACCAGCTTCCTTGAGGAAAAGGCGAGGGGGTGGTGGTCTTCAGAATGGGTCTTCTTGGGAAAGAATACTCTTCACCTCTGAGTTTCAGGCATTGATTATGAATATGCAAGGCGGGATGAGTCAGAATAGAGATAATGAGGGTCCCTGGCTGCTCAACAATGAAGCACTCTCCAGGGACAGGGAAAACAATTACAGCTAAAACCTCCTCTTCTTGAGTGGTGGGAAAGGCCATTTGGGATATTATTCATTGCTGGAGAGAACGGGTAGTAGAAGGATTCCACTTCAGCATAGTGGATTCTTTGGTATCATACAGACCCCTTAGTGGACTAGAACATGGTCTGGAGGCACCTCCTAAACACTACTTTTTCAAGGTGATGGGGGTGAGGGTAGAACGAGACAATGCTGCAGAAGGTCTTAGAACACATCCGGGGAGTGGAATAGTATATGTTGTCAATTTCTCAAGAAAACTGTAATCATTGCTTTTCCAAAATCAGTGCAAATGCCACATCATAAAAAGGTTAATAACTTCTTACCATTATCACAAAACTATTTTGATTTCATAGACATCATGAAAGGGTCCTATGGACCCCCTTCCCTCACTATCCAGGGATTCAGAGATTACACACTGAGAACAACTTTTCTAGGAGGAAGATATGGTGTTTTCACCAGGGAGGGGCACATAAGATGCTTCTGAGGGTGCTAGTAACACTGTACTTCTTGTCCTGAGTGAAAATCACACAGCCGTACACTTTACAATCATTTATTACAATGTACATGTATCATGTATTTTATACACACACACATACACATGATAAAGGTGAAAAATACACATGGTTCAGGGCTATCAGAAAGTGGTAAATGAAAGTGCTCCTGGCACCTTGCAATCCCTCTGCTTACAAGCACTGTTCTCCAGCCCTGTAGATGGCTATATAATTCACACTTCCCCCCTGAGCTGACAGCTTCCTATATTGCCTGCATGAGAGATAGTCCCAGGTAAAGGGGAAGGAAGCTGCCTCTTTTCACTACTAGTGGATGAACTACCTGGCTTATCTGCTAATATCACCTTCAGCACGTAGAAATAACATCTCTCATCCTTGTCGTCTAGTATTCTGGTTCAGCCCAGGCCTGTGGAATGCTGCTCCTATTAAGCATCCTCATGAAAAGCCCCAACCCGGCCTCACAACAAAACCATAACTAATATTAAGTAAGGAATGTGTGGTAGTGTTTCGTAAAGGGTAAATCACTATACTAATACCTACTATTATATTTCTACAAGCACAACTTATGATAAGATAGTACAAAATCCATGCCAGCTTTCAGAAAATACAAGATTCCAATTTTAATAAATTAAGAAAAAAATAATGTCCTTACCTATAGTATGGTTCATCGTTTGGTGTCTTAAGTTAACATTCATAACACTACTAAATGTGATTAACGACATAGCAGAGGTCATCAGACTTTCTCCATTAATTAAATTGACGAGGTCTCTAGAAAGACCTAAGTATGTTGAGGGGGGAGGAGATATTTTTTAAAGTGAGAAAAACTTTATCAACCAAGAATAAAAATTTTCTAGCAAGTAGAATGATATTCTTTGCTCTAAATTTATGTAACATAATTTCCCCTACATACTTAGACTTTAGTCATGAAAACTCCCTTCAAGGAAATTTATTATATATAAACTGTAAGTTAAGTCTAGACCATCATAAATAGGGACCAAATTAATTGTGGTCCATTATGTTTATGTAAGTGGGATAATTAATTACAGGTCTTGCTCCTTGTTTCAAAACACAGATGAAAACATAGCCTACTATTTTTTAAAATTCAGTGATTTGGTCACTGATAAGTACACACATCATGAGTTAGATGTATTTAAGGCAAGACAGAAAACAGAGATTGAAGAATAAAATAAATTCATATACCAAGGCTTTGTAACATGACATCTAAATAAAATATTTTTTGTAAACCAATCATTCTATAACCATGATCACAACCTAACTATATAAATACTCTGACAGAAGAGAAGAAAAGGCAAGACAGACTGTTCCTGTGGGGGCTCAGTTGCCTCCATGGCCCAATTCTTCACGTCTCCTTGTATCCATGCCCTTTGTTGTAAGACTTTGCAGTGTCTGTCACCAGAAAGATCCAGTCTGTTTGTTTATGAGACTTGATGAAAGCAGAAAGATTTCTGCTTCCTCTCTGTTGGACCCCTGCCACCATCATGGCATCAGTCCCTGGCTACCTTGCTGGAGGACGTGAGAGATACATGGAGGAAGGGTAGGCATTCCCAGTGAGGCCATCCTGGATTACTGAGCCCCCAGATAATCTGTCAGCTGATTGGAGACTGATTAGGGAACCTAGCCAGATCAGTAGAACCCAGCCCATGTTATCAGAACCTCCAGACTCCTGAGACATAATAAAAAAATTGTCATTTTAAGCCACTACTTTTGAAATTATTACTCAGCAAAACCTAACTGATATTGCTGTATAATTACTCTATTTTAGAAAATAGATCTATAGCAAAATGTGAATATTTAATAATAAATATTCCAAATTATGGGGGAATAAGAAGAGTCAAAACACCATAAAAAGCTGAAGACAATGTGAATGTATTCATGTACTCTACTGATAGTCCTGGCAGATTTTTTAAAAAATTTTGGAGGAGACATACACACACACACACATGTGTATATATTTATAAATATATATAAATTTATAAATGCAGTTGACCCTTGAACAACTCAGATTTTAACTGCATGGGCATGCTCATATGTGGATGTTTTTCAATAATTGACTGCATGGGAGGGTCAGTGCCCCTAACCTCCATGTCTTTCAAGGGTCAACTGTACACATATTTATAAATCTTACTTTGCAAACTTAGGCAAAAATGCTGCCAAGAGGAAAATATTTGTGTTAGTCTGTTTCTGTTGCTTATAACAGGACCCCTAAAACTGTGTAATTTATAAAGAAACAAAATTTATTTTGTACAGTTTTGGAGGCTGGGAAGTCCAAAGTCCAGGGAACACATCTGGTGCCGGCCATCTTCTGGGTGGAAACTCTCTACAGATCCCCTGTGACCACTGTGTCCTACGGCCGGAATGGGCTAAGAAAGAGTGCTAACTTTCTCACTTGCTCTCCTTTTAAAGCCATTATACTTTGAACTGTGTGTATTACTCCATGAATGATGGATCAATCCATTCACCAGAGCACATCCCTCATAAAATAATCACTTCTTAAAGGCCCCACCTTTCAAATGCCATAATAGGATTTCTCACCCTCTTAACACTGTTACAATTGGGGTCAAACTTCCAATATATAAATTTTGGGGGACACATTAAACCCATAGCAATACTTAAAAAAAAATTTTTTTTAAGATGAAAAATGAGTGAAAAAACAAATTCAAAAAGTAATGGCAAGATGGCTAAAATTTATGAGAATAACCTTGCAAGACACCCCAAATAGATTATCTAAATTAAATAACAGCAGGCTAGAAAATCAGTGGAGTGCTGGATTACAAGATTATGATGTAAAGAGATGTGTGAAATCGGCTCTCAGGTATCACAGAACTCCCTCAAATCTTTCCAGTAGAGAAGCACTGGCACTGACAAAGTCACACTGAGGTAGGGATGTGGGGTAAAAGAGGATGTGAAGGGAAAGACATGAATTGAAAGTTGGGGGATGGATGCTGTCACTTTCTTCTTCCAGTGTCTCACTTCTATCTCTTAATCTCCTTGTCTTGAAGACTCAGTTTTCCTTCATTCAAATATTTACACCTGGTGTGTCTCTCCTACCCTATTTCTACTTGCCTCAAATAACTCTTTCCCCTTTAATTGGCCATAAAGCGAAAATGAAATTGGAAAGAACATATGTGTGTGTGTGTGTGTGCATGGGCATACATGGGTGTGCCATATTAATATTCTATTTTAAAGCAATTTTTCTAGTTTTCATTATTAAAAAGTGACTGAGAAGAAAATAAGGTTATTGTATTTCCTGGGTTATTTTTTTGCTTTTCTGGGTTAAATTGACTTGTTATTTTACTTTTCAATGTAGATTTATTTCCCCTAAAATAGTATACACTAGAAACACTATATACTTGGTGATTTTGTTGTTTTTGACTTTTCAGACTTTTAGTCTTAATGGTGACAATGACTCCAGAGACTATTTCTTTTTTAAAAAATGACATTATACTAATGACTGCTTTCAAAGGAAAAGAAATATTGGGCAACAGAATGTCACCACAATGTGACAATATTTTAATGCCCTAGAACTGCTCTGTTGGCTCAAGGTAGAAGCATGCATAAAGTCAAGGATTCTAAATAATCTTCTGCCCTGTTCCACAATTGTATATAATCCTTTTTTTTTTATACTAAGTAAGCCCATCACTGGCATTTCCTTCTGTCCTAAGCATCACCTCCAAAATCTTCGCTCAATTCTCAATCCCCTCAATCCCCAGTCCCTTACTATCCCACTTTGTATAGTGAAAAGCTACTACAAACAAAAGATTTTAAAACTAAGACATGTTAATTACAAAATTTGGTGTTTTAAATATAGGAAAAGAGAAAAATATACCTACCAAGGTCTCTTATAGCAGCTGCAGTCAACATGGGATCTGAACTCACAAGGATAGCTGAAAATAATAACCATGAGGTGGACTTCAAAAGTAATTTATTCACAGATGCCAGATAACAAATAATTAAGGTATAATTAACCAAAAAGCCAGGAATTGTAATTAAAAGTATCTGCGAAGAAATATCACAAGTAGAAAAATCAGATTGCTTTTGTATTCCATTTTAAAAGCAGATAATCAGAATTACTGTAATGTAGAATCACTAGCACCACCAGGGCCCACCAACAGACATACCTGTTCCAGCTGATTCCCTACTTGAGCAGAGATGCAGGAGATGGCTCGGCAAACATCAGCTGAGCCAACCCAAACCACTTTTATATCTCTGTTCTTTTCAATTTCACCTTTTGTCATTTGTCTGAACTCCATGCACCTGGATGTGGTTTACAGTATAAATTATTCTAGTAGTTTTGCTTCTAATGCAGTTTAGGTAATGACCTTATCTTCACAAAACTGTTGTGATTACTTTGAAAGAAATTTACACCCTGCTTTTGATTTGGAGTATTTTTTTCTCGAGGCTTTTCTATGATATAGTCCAAATAATTTAAAAAATCATTATAGTTTGTGAATTAGCTTATTGCTGCTTCTGTGAGTTTTCTTCTCTACTTTTGTTCTTTTACATGTGGGTGTAGGAAGCTTTAGAACTTGGGAATTTAAAACATGACTTTTCTGAACAATTTTTTTACTGGAGCTGATGTACTTCATAATAGCTCTCTTGTAGCATCACAGAATTAAAATTATAACTTGTTTAAAGTTCTGCCACTACTTTCTTCCTCCATGATTTTTTTCTGTATCTTCAATATGCCAGACAATTGCCAAGATACAGTTTATTTACTAAAATACGAAGCTAAATTTACTACACCCATACCCTGTACCTTTTCTGTCTTCTTCATTCCCTCATTTTGGAGCGAAATTTTAAAAACTCTCAACACAGATAAAATATGGTTCATGAGTAAATGATATTACTGAAAAAGAATACTTACGTGACCCAATAACTTTTGAAGCATGTATACATCCATGTCAAATGCAACATTAAAGATAATTACAGGTGTAAACATACCAAAAAATAAGTCTGGATTCATCCACTGTATGGCCTGTGCATATCTTTGCACCTAATAATATAAAAATATATTATTTTCTCATTCATACACCTTTCTATTAGCATAGAATACATTCCAGGCACTCCTGTCTTTAGCAATAGAGAAAGACAATTTTAAAAAGATACATCACAATGTAATAAATGCTAATGTCTTAACTCTGATGGATTTTCATAGTTCTCCATCAGATTATTACCAATTACAAATGTACATTAATGCACACCCCCATGCCCATTTTATTTTTTTAAAGAATAGGTATAGGAAGTATATTGACATAGGTACTAGAGAATATGTAGCAGATTTTCAGCATATGAGAGAAAGAAAGAGATTTCAGCTAGGTGGATTATCATGCACAAAATCCACGAAGGAATAAATTACCATATCAAATTCCAGAAACTACAAACAATTAACCCTGGCTTATATAGAAGAAGTGTGGAAGAATAGCAGGGATAGAGACTGGAAAGTTAAAGCAATTCATGAAATAACTAATTAACAATGTTTATCATAAGATATTTAGTTAATATTTGTAAATCCTATTATGAGTATCTATTCAACATTCATTCATTAAGGTAACACTGAGGACCTGCTTTATTAGGTGATCGCTTTGCATTTGGGAGACAACTCTCCATGAGCCTCTTGTGTTTCTCTATGTCTTATGAATGGAGGCACTAATTGCTTTTGTTCCAGACCATCTTTTCATGAATGTTTATGTGGCCAACAATCTTGAAAGATAGAGCAAGTATCTTTTTCTAGAGCAAAGGGTGAGTTTACTTTACTGTCCAGAGTAATAAAGATGATGTTTCCCTCTGGAGCAATAAAGCAAATGAGGTTACCACCCAATATAACATACTCATGTTCCCTAAGCTCATGTGTCTTCTCTTGTAATGAAACACACTGTGTGTGCAGATTCCACGTGGTCCTCTTTGCCTCTTCCTGTGGATTTGAGGTTCAGAAAGCAGACACAAGAAAATGCTCATACTCTGGTTACTGCTATTGCTATGAATAATAAAGTCTTTTGTCTCTGGCCCAGGAGTCACACATCTTTTGCCAGAATTGTGAAACTATGGAAGGCTAGGTTATTAGCTTACAAGTAAAGTAAAATCTTAGACCTTTCACTAACTCTTGACATATGGTTTCTTTGAAGAAGTTACTGACAAATAGTAAAGTTAAGTTTATGCAAGTACTTAAAATTGCAATCATGTCAAAATAATAAGAATATAAAATCTGTTTGTGACAAGTAAAGTAGTAATCTGCTTTTGTTTCTTACATAAATATATATTTTTTCTATATATTTTTTAATGTTACTGGGTAAATTTGTTTGGGGAGGTCAATCATTTGCAGACAAGTTCTCATATCCACTCTGATTGATTAGGGCAGGCATTGGCAAGCTGTGGCCTCTGAGCCAAATCTGGCCCAATGTTTGTTTTTGTAAATAAAGTTTTATTGGAACACAGACATGCCACTTCATTTATGTGTTATCTATAGCTGCTTTTGAGATACAATGGCAGAGGTGAGTAGTTGTAACAAAGATTATATGGTCTGCATAATATAAAATATTTAATACGTGGCCTTTTATTAAAAAGTTTGCCATAAACTCCAAGGCTAGAGGACTATTTAATGTGTCAGTGATGCATTCTGTATACATTATAGTAAGTATTCTGTCTCTCCTCTACCTGACTCCAGTGTTCCCAACTATTTTAAAATACTCTAGCTGCTTTGATTCTATCTATAGTTTGCCTTCCTCCTCACTTCCAGCTTCAGGCTAGACGTTCAACTTATGTTTCTTGATATATTCTACCCCAGGCACACTTAGAGAATAGCCTCTATTCTAATGGAAACCATATAAAACATTCTTAACTGAGGCAATAGATTGGTTCAATATCAGAATTCTCTTGCTACTACAGTCCTGTACCAGCAGCACAAAGTCTCCCCGAGTTCCTATCTCTTTAGCTAATTTCTTGTCTAGGCTTTTGAATTCTGCTTAACACTCATTGACCACTCACACTTTCAGTAGCCGTATGTGTACTCATTTTGAATTGCCTATATAGTTTTAGACCTAGGCTCTGTTTTGACTCTGTTTAGCTGGATCTCAGCTTTTTCAACCCTGGCTCCTTTTTCTGCATGTCTTATCTAATGCTATCCATATCACAAGCATCTACTAACTGGCACAGCAGTAAGGGGAGAGGTATTTTTACAAATTTTCTTAAGCCATCTTTTCATTTATATAATTCTCAGTTATAGTGCAAAGTAATCATTTACAACACACACCTCAAAAGATATAAAACTTAGTATTTCAAAACAGCATCCAAATAAAAATAATATCACAGGCAGAGGAATTGGAAAGTCTCTCAAATACAGGTTCAAAAATGCTGCAAAAAAAAATGTTATTATTGACTCAATAAAATATCACATTTATAGAACTTTAATAAGATATGATTTCTTAATACTGAGGACAATAAAATACTATTCTACTTGTTATTTTCATGTAATTGAAGCCCTCCCTCACACTTAAGCTCACAGAGTCAGTGTAATTGTTAGTCCACCTGGTTTCTGCTTTACTTCTATGATGTACCTCACTCCCTTAGAATCTTTAGTAAACCTGCTAGCAGTCATTGGCTCTTGAGTTACTACTGGAATGTTTATAGTAGTTTATATACACCGTATAAATCAGAGATTCATTTCTTTAGCAATCCTGCAATGAAAGGTTAATAAATAAACCTTAGTGCAACTTGCTGGTTGAGGAATAATGAGGAACTAGCTATAATAATTTGCTTAATGAGAAAACTAGCTACCTATTACTAGTTACCTATTACATATTAAAAAACCTATAATGAATATTTAACTTCGTTTATCATTGTAACAAAAGTGCAATAAGTTAAAATCATAGCATTCCCTTCTGTATTAGTCCATTTTCTGTCACTTATAACAGAATACTGAAACTGGCTTATTTATAAAGAAACAAAATTTATTTCTTACAGTTTTGGAGGCTGGGAAGTCCAAGGTTGAAGGTAGCATCTGGGGAAGGCCTTCTTCTTGGTGGGACTCTGCAGAGTCCCAACGCAGTGCACGGTGTCACATGGTGAGAGGTCCAGGAGCATGTTAACATGCTCATTTGCTCTCCTTATAAAGCCACTAGTGCTACTCCTGTTACAACGCATCCATCCATTAAACTTTATGAATGGACTAATCCATTCATGAGGACAGAGCTCTCATGATCCAATCACCTCTCAAAAGCCCCACCTTTCAAGTAACTATAGTCGAATCTCCCAAGCTTTAAATACTTTTACAATAAGGATTAAGTTTCAAGATGAGCTTTGGAGGAGACATTCAAACCATAGTACCTTCCATTTAATTTTTTCTTCTTATTTGTAAAACAATCCCTAATCAGGTCAAAGAAAGTGCTGGAGAAGGAGAAGGAGAAGAAAAGAAAAGAAAAGAAAAAACTTTCTTTTGATTTCTACAGTGTTATATTCTTCTCATAAGAACTAGGTATAATTTGTCTTATGGAAACACCCTACCCCAACTTTCGATTCCCTGCTTATTTTCTTTAATTATCCTCATCACTTAAATCTAACACTGACCTAGCAAGTAAGAAGATTTGAACATTTGAACCTGATAGAAGTAAAGAATATTCTCGGCAGATTATTGTTGAATTCATTTGATTGAAAATATTGAAATAAAGGTATCAATTTAGAAACAATTCTAATTTCTTATTACTGCTACTTTCCTTATTTCTGTATGGTAGCCATTATAAGATATATCCATAGACTAAACTCAGTAAAGAGTGACACTTACCTCCAATGGTAGTGATCAAAGACAATATTAGAATGATTTCAGGGAGGTCCTGAGGAGCACTCAAAAACAAATCCCTGAGAAATTCTAGCCATGAGCTAGAAAAACTGTGGTGATTGGTGACATTAGAAATAGTTTGGTTACCAGTACTCATTCTGTTGTTTTTCATGGACCATCTGAATCCGAGTCTATGTCTGTCTGCAAAACTAAGGATCAAAAGAACATAAGATTTACCTTCGTGGCGGCCTTCTAATGATTTTCTAAAATGGAAAAAAACCCTACATTTCTTATTCATATCTAGGGATATCTTAGGGTGGTCCAAAATTAGGAATTCTTCTCCCTTCTGCGATGCTTTCAAATTAAATGAAATGGAAATGAAATGGAAAAGGCAGAACCCCAAGCGATAGAGACGAGCCAGTGCCACCTTGTGTTCACGTACCATGTCAAGCACTACTCAGTTATTAACCAGCCTGCATCTATTCAACTGTCTGAAAGAATTCTTCATCCAACCATTCACCAGTCACTGGGACCACAGGCTGGTGCAGGTTACTTAGTTCTGGGGATGGACAACCGAAACTGCCTTCAGTTTATCTGAGTTTTTGGAAGCATGTTCTGGCATCTGTTCCTTCAGTTTATCTGAGTTTTTGGAAGCATGTTCTGGCATCTGTTCCTAATAGCAAATGAAATGGGGGACGAATATTCTGATCTCTTTTGTTATTTTATCCAGACAGAAATGAACAGATCATGATGATACCCAATCATAGCCTTTGTTTATCTCATTTGGGACACCAACAGGCCAGCTTTTCTCTAACTTTTATATATTTACAGCAACCAAAAATGTAAGAAAAATATTGAAACTGAAAGGACTTACTTAAAACAGGGGGATTGTTACATGTTTTTTCTCATTGTTACTTTTGGAAGAGGAACAAGGACCTTGCTAAGGGTTTGAAGCAACAGATAAAAGCCACAGTCAGGTAATCCCACTTGCTTTCCCATGGAAAGGAAAGTTTTACATCAGAGATCTTGAACTGCATGCAGGGAATTCTTATGATCCTCTCTCATGATAGTAGCTCAACATTTTCTAATATCTGCTATTAGCATCTCATCTGGCTGCCTTGCTAAACAATTATGATCATTCCTCTCATAATCTATCAGTTTGTTTTTTCAGTTTCTATGTATTTATGTTTTCTTATATGTTTTTTGATTATAAAAACAATATTTTGAAAGAGAAAATGAAATACACGAATACATGTTTATTGTGAACACTTTTTAAAATAAATGAATATGTAAACAAACATTTCAAAAGCAGAAAAATATCGCCCACAATCATATCATCTAGTGGCTCTCATATGTTTTATTTATAGTTGATCTCATCCTTTTATAAGTACATTTTATGCTGTTTTCTACTTGTTATTGTATCACCAGCATCAAAAAGCCTTATAGACACCATTTACAAAGGTTGTATTACATTAGCACCAAGGTAAACATGCAGACTCTGTGGTTAGAGAGCCTGCCCGCAGAGGTCTGATGGGCTTCTGCTTGTAGGTGGAAAGACTGGATAACTTACTTGAGCTCCACTGGCCTCAGTTTTCAAATCTGCATAGTTTCCTAGTCTGTGTAATCTTGCTGTATTTATTATGTTTTGGAATCATCTGGGGAGCTACAATGATACTGGTGCTTGGGCCCTATCCCCAGAGACTCCGATTTAGTTCAGTCTAGGTTGCAGCCTGGACTCTTCAGGTGATTTTAACGTATAGCCAAGGTTAGCAACCACTGTGATCCACCCAGTTCAAAGGCAACATTGCTAAATTTTCAGTTCAAAGCCAGCTTCTTTTTGATATTCTTCGTCAGGTTTTGTAAGAAAGGGTGTCAATGCCTTTCAGCCAAAGACCACCAGAAACACATCTGCAGTCGACAAGTTCTGTTTATTACTTGTTTCAGTGAGAGACATACCACAGGGAGCCATAGGGGTTCTGAGTAGAAGAGGGTTAGAAGAGACCCATTATAGAGTCTGGACTTTGGCTGGGTAGTTTTGGAGAGGAGCTAAGGAAGTGAGGGTTCACTCTAGATTGCATACTGTCAAAAAGTGAGGATAATTCTGTGATTGAGTATCTCAGTAAATCTTTTTAAAAAAATATTTATTCATTACTTATTTATTCACTCAGAAAATAGTTATTGAGTACCTGTGCATCCAGGCATCATATAGGTAAAATGTTTATGGAGCATGGTATTGAACAATTTGCTTGAAAGTTATTTCAGTTTGTCCATTCTAGATTTAATTTGCATGTAACACAAACTTTCAGGTATATTTTGATTTAGAAAAAATACAAGAATTAGAATATAGAAATAAAAAATATGGAATATTGAAAAATACATAATTCATGTGTATAGTAACAAATAATATAGTACTCTCACATTTTCTTATTCAACAATTTTCATATATATATATATATATATATATATAGGATATTGTTATGGTTGATATTAAAATTTCACATTTGTGGATTCCAAAATCTAGAAATAGTTTATCTTGCACCTTTATTTTTCTCTGTCAGGTTTGTATTTATTTATCTTGCAGGGTCTATAGTTTTTTGGTTGCTTTTATTGCAATTCCTTTTGTAGGAGTATCTATCTCTTGATAACTACTGTTACGTTCCTGAGTACATAGATATAGACTCTATGCAGACTCTTGCAGATACTTGAAAATGAAAATAGTGAAGGTTGTTGCTGACATGTGAAATGCTGCAGCAGTATCGACTGCCCTGCAAGATGAGCAGAAACAAACCATATTACTGCTGTTATCCAGGTCTTTTAATAAATACGGGCGAAGGCTAAGGTTAAGCTGGAAGGAGAATTGCATTTGTAACATTATATGATATATAGATTTTCCAGGAAGGATGGAGATTTAAGACTTGGGGAAATAGTGAACCTTGCCCAGTTATGTGACACGTGTGTTTGACTAAGATTAGATACCTGTTGTACGATACATTGAACTTTCAGAAGGAAAGAACAAATCTAGGGATACTAGAGACGAGGGGGAGGGAAGGGGGAGGTTTGGGAAGTGATAAGTTGGGTAAAGGGCATAAAGAAATATCACAATTTGTAAGTATGAATATGCTAATAATAAATAAAAATAAAATAAAAATAAATAAATAAACAAATATCTGTTGTAGCATGCAGACATATCTCCTTGTTAAATGTAATCCTTTGGATTGTAAACAGGTTGTTGAAAATTGTTACACACAAAAAAATTACATAGTTGGTGATTAATACACACCATTGATAGAAGTTTGTGACCCTATATAGGTTGACAAATTGTAAGATATACCAAACAAAACACTGGGAAAATAATATTTCAGCCACTTAGATCAATAGCAGTGGAAACTGGTTATATACTTCTAAATTTTCAATTAAATATTTCTAGTACCCTGCTTTGAAGTTTTCCCAGAATTCTGTTTTTTTGTTTTTTTAACTGTTAAATGGTTTATTTATTTAGGGCCTCCCAAAACAAATGGCACAGGTTATCTCACTCAATTATCTTAATAATTCTTACTGTTCCCTTCCCCACCTCACCCACTGTTTTATTTTATTTTGTTTTTGTTGTGCACCTTTTATTGAAACGTATTGATTATACATATTTATGGGGTACAGAGTTATATTTCAATACAATGTGTATACAACATGTGATGATCAAATCAGGGTAACTAGTATATTCATTATTATAAAACTTAATAATTTCTTTGTGACCTGGACATTTGATCTCCTCTCTTCTAGCCATTCAATAACATGCAGTAAATTATTGTTGATACTAGATGCCTAACTTCAAGGTACACTAACAGAACTTATTTTCCCATCTAATTTTCTCCTCCCTCCCCCACTGCTTTCCTGCCTCTAGTAACCACAGTTTATTCTCTCCTTCTGAAAGTTCAACATTTATTTATTTATTTTAGCTTCCACATATGCGTGACAACATGTGATATTTCTCTTTCTGTGCCTGGCTCATTTCACTTAACATAATTTTCTCCAGGCTCATCCATGCTGCTGCAAATGGTAGAAATTTCATTCTTTTTTATGGTTGAGTAGTATTTCATTGTGTAAATATTCCACATTTTCCTTATCCAATCATCCATTGATAAACATTTAGGTGGGTTTTATTTCTTGGCTATTGTGAAATATGGGAGTGCAGGTATCCCTTCACTGTGATGATCTTCACTCTTTTGGGTATATACCCAGTAGTGGGATTGCTGTATGCTATGGTATCTAGAGGGAGAGCAGAGTTAAAGCTGTGATGGGTACAGAAGCAACAGTCCTTCATTTTAGCCAAGAGTAGGGATGTTTGGTGTTATATGGGTTGCACAATGGCCTTGTTTTTGTCTCAGTTTGTTACGATTTAGTGACTTGTCTGATGTTGATGTTCTGTGGGATTGTTTATGTCCAAGAAAAGAACATGCCGTAGCCATGAGTATCAGGCCAGCTTGTAGTAACACTGAGATCTAGATGTGAGCATCAGATGCATTCTTGGATTCAATGGATGGTTTTGGTTTTGGTTTTGGTTTTTTCCTCAGAGGATTTCTAAATTCCTTAATCTGAACTTAGCATATCAAAAGCTAGAGGTAGACCTAGAGATATTGATAAGAATAGAAGTGATGGAGCAGAGCAAGCTCAGTGAGGCCTCTTAAGACAGAGATTCTCAACCTCAGCTACACATGGGATCCCTTCTAGAGTTTTAAGAAATACTGATGCCTGGCTACCACCTTCAGAGGTTAATTCAATTGGTCTGGATGCAGCCTGGGTGTTGGGAACTTTAAAAGCTTCCCAGTGACTTTAATGAGCAAACAGGGTTTAGAAACAATGCTGCAGCGGAAGTCCCTACCATTAGGAAAGAACATTGTAATTGACTGATGATATTTGCCCTTAGTTAACATCAAACTATGCAGGAAAATACTGTCAATGTCATCTCTTAACTCGTCCACTGTTACTCCAAGACTAAGTATCCTGGAGCACATGAGCTTGACCAAAAAAGGAAAACTATTTTCTGCATCATAGTTATACATTCTGACACACTTTTAGAATTTAATATAGTTAAGGACTCTATTGTTTTCCAAACTATAAACAGGGATGCATGTTCTCACGGCATTTTTTTCTTTTCTAAAA